GCACCAATCCACCTGTTGATCTCCTGCTCCATTCTTCCCTCATTCATGAACAAGACCCTGAGATACTTACTTGGTCAATCGCGAAGACTGTAAAAAAGTGTCTTTGAATTTGGACAGTCTAGTTAATAGATTAGCTTTGTTAATATCATAAAATAACTAAATTAGCTTAAAGTCAATATTTGAAGAACCAAGGGACCCGCCGTAGGAGCATGTTTTTTTCTCTACACCAGCTTGTTTGGCCGAGAAAGATCCATTGGACCAGGTCCTTCAAATCGGGGACAAATGAGGAKGCATTTGTCGCCACATCGAAGTAGTCTGAATTTGGACAGCCACCTGCACGGTGCTGGGACATAAGCGGTCAACAAATTCATCCTTCGGAGGACCCAGACCCTGAATTTGGACACAGACTAAAATCTCTKTTGCAAGAGAATCCTGGCCAAGACTKCCAGCGGTACCCWGAGGTTACAGAACATCACAGCAAAAATAAAAAAGTTAGCACCATCTTAGATTGATTAATTAATATATTCCTCAGTTAAAACATTTACAGACAGATTATTCTGTCGTATAATCAGTAAAAACAGCCTTATAACATTTAGTGACAACACCTTTAGGTCCAGGTATCTGCAACTTGTTCCAAGAGGACGGAGCAGAAAACTGAAAAGATTTCTTTCAAAATTCAGTTTGGACTTTAGGCACCGAAAGTAAAAAATAAATCCTCACAACAAAGAGAATATCCTCCGATGGACCAATAAATATGATGGAAGAAGTCCTAGTATGGTCTTATAAATAAAAATATACCAGTGACAGTCTACGAGTGTCCGAGGCTGTCCAACCAGCCCTGCTGTACCAAACCTTTAAACCTGCTGTAAATCTGAGAGCTCCACGATAAACTGAGTCCACCAAGAGACATTTAAGAGATGCATGTAGAACATGTCCTCATAGTCCAGTACAGATAGACCCGTCCCATCAAGCAGTTCTAATCAAAACATAGACACGGTCTAATCCTGAAATATAATCCCAATTACCAGTGTCCACATCAGAAGGTCCAGACCACAGAACCAGAACCAGACGTACCTTAGGTGAGGGCATGACACTGAAGGTGTTCATGATCCGGTCCGGGTACTCCTCCCGGATCTTACTGATCAGCAGGGTGCCCATCCCAGACCCGGTCCCTCCTCCCAGGGAGTGGGTCATCTGGAAACCCTGAGGCAGAATCAGAACTTTGTCAAAACTAAAAGCTGTGTAAAGGTCAGGAGTCAAAGGTCAAAGTTAGAAAGTAAAAAAAAAAGCTATAAGCTTGAAAACATCTGAATCATTAGAAACAAAGAGATAAAAACTGCTTCTATTAAAGAATAAGTTKAGCTCCGCCCACTGGTCCTAACCCCGCCTACGAGGTGCTTTTCAGAATAAAAGCCCGTTAGTTTCACCTGCAGACAGTCGCAGTGCTCACACTCCTTCCTAACCACGTCCAGGACCGAGTCCACAAGCTCCGCCCCCTCGGTGTAGTGACCTTTGGCCCAGTTGTTGCCGGCACCTGTCTGACCTGCAGGAGGAGATCCACAAGTGTAACCTGACACCCGACACGTGCAGCCCCTCTGGGCCCGGGCGGGCCCAACACAACTCACCAAAGATGAAGTTATCGGGTCTGAAGAGCTGCCCGAAGGCTCCGGACCGGACGCTGTCCATGGTTCCTGGTTCCAGGTCCACCAGCACCGACCGGGGAACRTATTTATGTGCTGCACAAACAGAACCGGGCTTTAACTCCAGAACATATTCAGACCCCGACCCCCCACCCCCCACCCCAGCCACACAAACAGGTCCACTCACATGAGGCTTCGTTGTAGTACACGTTGATCCGGTCCAGCTGCARAACTGAGTCACCCACATAGTTCCCTGCAGGGTCGATGCCGTGCTCGTCACTGATCACCTCCCAGAACTGTTCGGGTCAAAACAACTGGACTTTAGCTCCTAACAGAACTGGACTTTAGCTCCTA